TAAATGCCTGGAGTGTGGAAAGAGCTTCAGTTGCAGGGCACACCTTTATAGACATCAAAGGATCCACTCAGGAGAGAAACCTTTTAAATGCCCGGAGTGTGGAAAATCCTTCAGAAAAAATGATCATCTTAAAAAGCATCTGAGAATCCACACAGGAGAGAAACCCCATAAATGTCTGGAGTGTGGAAAGAGCTTCAGTCAGAGGGGAAACCTTTATGTACATCAAAGGATCCACTCAGGAGATAAACCGCATAAATGCCTGGAGTGTGGAAAGGGCTTTAGTCAGAGTAGATATCTTTATGTACATCAAAGGATCCACACAGGAGAGAAACCACATAAATGCCTGCAGTGTGGAAAGAGCTTCAGTCAGAGGGGACACCTTCATACACATCAAAGGATCCACACAGTAGAGACACCGTATGAATGCCTGGAGTGTGGAAAGAGTTTCAGTTACAGGAGCAACCTTTATGTACATCAAAGGATCCACTCAGGAGATAAACCGCATAAATGCCTGGAATGTGGAAAGGGCTTTAGTCAGACTAGATACCTTTATGTACATCAAAGGATCCACTCAGGAGAGAAACCATTTATATGCCTGGAGTGTGGAAAAAGCTTCAGTCAGAGGAGATACCTTTATACCCATCAAAGGATCCACTCAGGAGAGAAACTGCATAAATGCCTGGAGTGTGGAAGGAGTTTCAGTCACAGGAGCAGCCTTTATAGACATCAAAGGATCCACTCTGGAGAGAAACCATTTAAATGCCTGGAGTGTGGAAAGTGCTTCAGTCAGAGGGGAAGCCTTTATGCACATCAAAGGATTCACACAGGAGAGAAACCACATAAATGCCTGGAGTGTGGAAAGTGCTTCAGTCAGAGGAGCAGCCTTTACACCCATCAAAAGAGCCACTCAGGAGAAAAACCACATAAATGCCTGGAGTGTGGAAAGAGCTTCAATATGAGGGGAAGCCTTTATACACACCAAAAAATCCACTCAGGAGAAAAACCGCATAAATGCCTGGAGTGTGGAAAGTGCTTCAGTCAGAGGGGACAACTTTATAGACATCAAAGAATACACTCAGGAGAGAAACCATTTAAATGCCTGGAGTGTGGAAAGAGCTTCAATGTAAGGGGAAACCTTTATACACATCAAAGAATCCACTCAGGAGAGAAACTGCATAAATGTCTGGAGTGTGGAAAGAGCTTCAGTCAGAGGGGAAACCTTTACATACATCAAAGAATCCACACAAGAAGAGAAACCCTAAATGAACTCTCGTACCTGGGGGACTACTTGTAAATGCCTCCAGTGTGGAAAGAGCTTTACTGAAAGTGAAAGTCTCCGTAAACATCAAAGCATTCATAGAGGAGAAAAAGCATATAAATGTCTGAGTGTGGAAGTAGCTGTAATCGGAGGGGAAACCTTTATAGACATCAAATTCTCCATTCAGGAGAGAAACCATATAAATGCGTGAAGCATGGAAATAGTTTCTGTGGGAAGGGAAGTCTTTATCAGTATCAGTCCACTCGGGAGAAAAACAATACAAATACCTTGAGTGTGGAAAGAGCTTTATTGTTTGTGGACACCTCTATCGACATCAAAGAATTCACATGGGGAAAAATGCTAAATATGCCTGAGTGTGGAAAAACCTTCAGTCACAACGGTACCACTGAAATAACAATAGCATTTAGGCTTATATGCCGCCCCATAGTGCTTTACAGCGCACTCTGGGAGATTTCCAAGGTAAACATTATTTGCATATTGCCGCCAACAATCTGGGTCCCCCTTTTACCATCCTCAGAAGGATGGATGGCTGAGTCAAGGCTTGAGCGCTGTCAGAATCAAACTCCAGACTGTGGACAGTCTGCCTGCAATACTGCACTAAGAAGCTACTTGAATATTTATCACAGACCTAAGTACAGCTCAGTAAGACAGGTGTGAACTCTTACCCTTCATTGCCATCTCAATCTTTGTCAACATGAATAAATACTATATTCTCAGCCCAAACATTCAGGAGTAAGTAAACTTACGGACAGCACCATTTCATTATTCACTTTATTGCTATACTCGGTTTAATGATTGTGCTCTTCTGTGATGCCAAATAGTGGAATTTGAATAATTTTACACACTTTTTCAAGGGGTATGTAATTTTACTCATTAGCTGCACACCCAGGAATTTGATGCTCGTAACCATCTCCACAGGTGAATCATTAATGCACAGAGAAGTGTGGCTGTGCCTGCCTTTTCTGAAATCAACAATGATTTCTGTGGCATTTTCAGCCTTGCCACATTAAGGTGGGTCACTCATGAATTCTGGCAAGCAACGACAAGCCAGAAAAGGAAGAGACACGCAGAAATCTCCTCGGGATGAGTGGACACAGAATGTGATCTGAGCCACCTATTTATTTTGTACATACATGAGGAAGTACAGATGTCAATACATAATTGGTTACATTTTGTTGCAGGGTAGAATAAGTCCTAATGTAGCGTCTTTAACATATGATTGGTTGTAGCTTTCTATAGGATGTGGTTAGTGCAGAAGCAGATTGCAAGCTTCTTCTTGCCCCATTGCTATGCTAGCTTCCTGTTAACCGTTATTTTCTCAGAGGATGTGGTTGCCTCACTTACTGT